TTTAATTTGTATTAATAGATTACACTTTGGTTTTAGTTTGGCAGGAAGGAAGGATATAGGAGAGCTGTCAATGGTGATAGCCAAGGGATACCATGGACAGAGATTAGGAATTCACCTCTTCTATGAGTATTGCTAAAGTAACCCTGGAGAACTTTCCTTTCTTTTCCTTTTCTTATAAATACTTTTAAAGAGCTTACCTTCTTGCCTTTGCAGTGCTCAAGATTATATCAGATGTCAAGCATTTTCCTGGGAACATTTCCCTCCACCTGTTCTACACATATCAGCATTTTAAATTACTTCAGTTGAGTGCACTGGTGTTTAGGCCCATTGGAGAATCCTGGAATTTGAGCATAACAGATACACTTTCAGGTTGTGCAATCAAAAGCCAGCATCCATCTTGACAACAGATGACATAATCTTCCGTCCAAATCAATTCCATTTCCTACATGATACCATGCAGGTGACTTGTGTAGAGGAGGGCACTACATCCTTACACCTCACCCACTCACTTTCCTCCTTAAGCTGCAGAACTGCACCAATTCCCCTGTCTGGCAAAATTCTCCACTTATGGAGAAAGGAGATGGATATGGAACTCATTAGTCCAGATTCACACTCAGCAGGGCTTGAAGCATTCATCCTCTGCAGTGGGTGCCCACCTCCCTCAGGGATTCCATCCTGGGAGGGCAGCTCCATTTTGCAGCTAGGGCTTTGTCAGAGAATCATTGCTGGAGGGACCCAGCTGGCCTACCTACATCCCCTTGTAGGCCAACCATGCTCTCTTTGTGCCATTTTTGCCCCAGTTTCTCCCTTAGGATACATATACACAGCAGTGTTATTTCAGAATAAATGACGTTATTTCAAAATATCATAGTCCGCATCTACACTACAAGCAGTTATTTTGACACATTGTTGAAATAATAGTGAGCTGGAGAACTTCGTACTCTAACTCCTGTAACCCTCATTTTATGAAGAGTAAGGGAAGTAGAAGGACGAGTGCTCTTTCTCAGACTTCCTGCTGTGTAGGCCGCACCAAAAGCCGAAATAAGCTATTTTGACTTAAGCTATGCAATTGATGTTGCTCAAGTTGCGTAGCTTATTTCGGCTTTAGCCCTGCTATGTAGGTGTACCCTTAGTAGTGGAAGTGTTGGTTTTGGGCTGCTTGACCACTGCTGGTGGGGACTTATTCTCACCACAGGGCTAAATGGACTCAATATGGATGTTTGCCAAATGGTAGTGTTTCCTTTCTTGGTGGTAAGTGGAGATAGCAATCGATCATGACTTTTGGATCTGGAATCTAATTCTATCACAATGTCCTCAGTATCTGTGGTGAGGATTGTAGTCCGTGTTTAGGCCCATTGGAGAATCCTGGAATTTGAGCTTCCTCAAAGTTTGGGGAGGTTTGGCTCCGTGTTCCACTTTGTGTTTATCACTAGTTAATAAGAAAGTATTTTTGTTGAATTGTGAAAGCAATGAGATTTCATAATCCCTCACCCTCCTTTCTGCAAGCACATGCAACCTCAATACATCAGATTTTTCACATGTTAAGAGGAGAATTCTTGTGAGAGTGGTTTTAGTACCATGGAGATATCAGAAGCCAGATTATCAAGGCTCAAATTGACAGCTTTGAGGACACAGAGTCTAAGGCTATGTCTAGACTACATGCCTCTGGAGACAGAGGCATGTAGATGAGACTACCAGGCATAGGAAAATGAAGCGGCGATTTAAATAATCGCCGCTTCATTTAAATTTACATGGCTGCAGCGCTGAGCTGATCAGCTGTTTGTCGGCTCAGCGTGGTAGTCTGGACACGCGGGTGTCGACATCAAAGGCATTTGTCAACCACCCAGGTAAACCTCATTCCAGGAGGCATACCTGGGTGGTCAACAAATGCCTTTGATGTTGACACCCGTGCGTCCAGACTACCGCGCTGAGCCGACAAACAGCTGATTGTCTCAGCGCGGCAGCCATGTAAATTTAAATAAAGCGGTGATTATTTAAATCACCGCTTCATTTTACTATGCCGGGTAGCCTCATCTACATGCCTCTGTCGCCAGAGGCATGTAGTCTAGACGTAGCCTTAGAAAGGGAATGCTACCAAGGTTTGGAGACCAGTGGAAGGGAAGAGAGAGGAGACATTAGTTAGAAAAGCAAGTACTAAGAGAACTTTTCCAAGAAGGCTATTACAATGGGGTCTTCATAGATAAAGGATCCAGTGAGAGAAGAGCTATCAGTTAAAATCAAGGGAGAAAATGTTTATTCATGGAACTCAATTTTACAATTCCCTTAAGAGGCAATGAAAATTCCTAATCAAGACCCAATATGATGTGGCTTTGTAAAAACTTTTCTTGACTTTCTAATGAGTGCTAGATAACAAAAACATTTCTATATATTTTTACGCATGAAGTATTATCAACAAGTGTGCTGTGCTCAGAGGACTGTATTTATTCTACCATTCCCTTGTAAGCATGCAATATGTTATTTTAAGTTCCAAAAATACATATGTATTGGAAGAATAAAAAAAATGCAACTCCTATGTAAGGGAATATTATGTAGAATTGCTGTGGATCTTTCTTTAGAAATTGAAGGGCATCAGTCAACATTCACTATCTTCATTAATGGAGAGAATATTCGAGCTATATGTTTCTGCTTTTATTTCTTAATCAAATTTAGATGGAATGTCATTGTCTCAATATTAAACCTTTGGAAAAGGTTCTTAAAAATGAGCTTGTTTGCCAGAAGCTGGGAATGGGTGACAGGGGATGGATTACTTGAATCACTTGTTCGGTTCATTCTCTCAAAAGCATCTGCCATTGGTCATTGCCAGAAGACAGGATACTGTGCTAGAGGGACTTTTGGTCTGACCCCAATATGGCCATTCTTATGTTCTATGTTCTTTGGGGGTAAGGGAAGCAGAAAGCACATGTGTACCAGCTGAATGACCCCATATCGTACATGCATGGAATCAATGTGCTATATTTTGCTATTTTCAGCATCAGTGAGGTAGAAGTGTCCTCTTAGAAAGCCATTTTATTTATCTATTTGCCCTGTGGCAGGATCTTAGTATCTCTAAATCTTCATCAGTACTTGATTACTAGTCTTTGACTTGAAGATTTCTACCAGGAAGGATTTTGTTTCCCCACAGGCATTTTTGATTGACATATAGGAACAAGTCACAGTGAAAAGAGAACTAACTTGAAATAGTGAGAAGCTTTGTGCATATGATTAATAATTCAAAAAACGATGCATCACAATAGTTTTTCATACAAATATTGTCCCCTTTTATAATAAATTTTCCTTCTCAGAAAAGTGGGCCTATGACTAATGAAAATTCTTTTTGAAATCTGAACAGTTTCAGAGGGGTAGCTGCGTTAGTCTGTTTCAGCAGAAACAATGAGGAGTCTTGCAAATTTATTTGGACATAAGCTTTTGTGGGTCGCAGCCCATGAAAGCTTATGCACAAATAAATTTGTTAGTCTTTAAATTGCCACAGGACTCCTCGTTGTTTTTGAAATCTGAAGTTTCTTAATTTGAAATTTGGCATAGTCCTTTGGCAGAAATTACTATTTCATGCACAGATGGTTCCAGAATACATTTAAATGTGAGTCATGGAGAGCCTGTGATTGTTTTTCCTTGTTGAATATTAAGCTTTGTGCTTTTGGACATCTGTGGATAAAAAAAGAAGTATGTAACTTTTAACTTGATCTTATTTCTTCTGTCATCCTAACTTCCTCTCAACAGAAGTTGGTCCAATAAAACATATTACCTCACTCACCTTGCTCCTTTGATTCACACTTACAGATTTAGAGGCTGATTTTTTAAGGCAGGGCTACTCAACTTTGGAAGTCCCAGGGGCCACAATGATACTAAAAGGATATGCCGAGGGCCACAACATAAAAGGTTGCATATACATGCAAATATATATGCAAATATATGCAAATAGCTTCTTTCACACTGATGGGCATGAATACAAAGATTAAGGCAAGACTACACAACACACAGGCCCCATTTAAGTCAGTTCTGCTGCTATTAATAAAATGCAATATTTACCCAATTTCCCCCATATGACAGCACTTTTAATGAGCAATGACAGTCCAGGAATTTAACTGCTAAACCATATATCAACAGAAAACCATTATATTGATTCCTTTTTTGTTTTGGCTCCCACCCACAGGCCCTGTGTAAACCCAAACTGCACCACAGGCTGCAAAAACATGGGCCAGGGGCCATATGCAGCCCACAGGCCGTATGTTGAGTAGTCCTGCAGTTGGGTGAGGTAATATCTTTTACTAGACTAACTTCTGTTGGCCTGAACTTGAAAGTTTGTCTTTCTTACCAAAAGAAGTTGGTCTAATAAATTATATGATCTCCCCCACCTTGTCTAATTGTATTAATAAAATATACACACAATATATATGTAAAAGTGGTAAGTGCGTACTCTTTGTGTACATAGTTTATCATTGTTTTTAAGCGACAACACCTGATCTGGAATAGTCTTACATTTCCTCACTTCATGCTCTAGAAAGTCCTATATAGCAGCCACCAATGTTCTGTCTGAAGACTGGAGAGAATGTTCTTCAGAGCCTTTTAGTGCCTGTTCTAATGACTTGGAATTTTATTTCTGAAGCAAACTCAGTGGATTTTTCAGCTGCACTAGATGGTTCCTTTCCCTAAAGCCTGAACATGCTTGCCAATTCCTCAGCACTTCCTGGGCATTACAGGCCCGAACATCATGGGATTGAAAATTAAATGTGTACCCTCTCTGCCATAGCATTTGTACGGGGTTTCTATTTCTGCATAAAACTAGAACATAGTCTTGTAAAATAGATTAGTGAACTTTCCTTGCTCCATAGTCAGCATAAAGAAGTAGGTCAGAAAATGTTTAAATGAAAAATATGTGGATTCATATTTTATGTCATTAGTATGTAAAATAAATGTGCATCTTAGCCATAGTTAGAAAATGTAACACATACTCGCTCTTCTCTCTTTCTCTTTCCATGCAGGATGGATTGCAATGTTGGGAGCTATTTGGCTACTAGTGTTAGCTGATATCCATGATTTTGAGATGATACTAAACAGAGTGGAATGGGCAACACTTCTTTTTTTTGCAGCACTGTTTGTTCTAATGGAGGTAAGGGTAAAAGAATTAAGACAAAAACTAGTTGTTCCCCATTATTTTTAACCTGTGATTTCTATAAGTTGAATAGCTAGAAATGCAAGAAGCATGTGAGTAACGAGGGCAAGCATTATCCTGAATAGAGTGCTCACATAAGGGGGAAAAAGCTCTGTAATGTTTCTGTTAATAGTTTAGTTCTAATAAGAGAACAGAAATATGGAATAGTGACATCTGCTTCTGGACCCCAGTCTCACTTTTCATTATAACCCATAGTTTGTCCTCTTCCCCTTCTACTTCCATAATTTCCAGCAAAGTGAGGGTTTCATTTCAAACTTGGCATGTGTGTTCCATGTGATCAGTTATTTTTAAAACAAGTTTAAAGTTATCTAGACAGGCATAAGAAAAAAACAGGAGTTAGTCATAGTTTGAAAATACCATACTTTTCCTTATATCCTGGCTACAAAATGGCTTATCTGAAAGGCTTCAAATGAGATTTTTTGGAAGCTCGTTGTGTGGTCTAGCACACAAGAGCAAATTTCAGATAATGAAAGACATTGTTAAAATGTTGAGTGCAAGCGATGTTTGAATAGTTGACTACATCGTACATTTGGTTTCCGCATGGCTGGTTGATTCAGTCCCGCGTGAGATCCATTTGATTTATTATTTCAGAATGTAGATGTGAAATGTTTTGCTTTGGCACAAATGTTTGGCAAATGTGTGTTTTTCAAATGAATACCTGCATTCACATGCAAACAGGAGCTTTTGTACCTGCACAAGAGTGCTCACTAGTCAGTATTTTCTTTTAAAAGTTCAAATCATCCAATCATGGTACAGAAATCAGACCATAATATGACTTGGTTGAACAGTCACACACCATGAATAGTGAATAATCAAAATGAACAGTTTATAAATGACTCAATTTGAAATCTGTTTGCATACCCTTTAATCAAATAACTATAAATTGTAAATAGATGTATATATTTGGATTTATTTGTGAACAATTCGTCAACAGAAAAATGTGCTAAATGTACAGCAAATATTTGTCACGAATAAATCAGCTAGTACCTTTTAATACAGAGTTCAGAATCTAGTAAACTCCTGAAAGATCATTGGAGTCTCTAATCATTGTAAAGGTTGCAATCAGCTTTATAGAGTTCAAAACATACATTGTTCATTTATTGTGACATGGGGCATCCATTAACATACACTCTTACACATGCAGTTTTTAATGTTATCTATTTTGAAACTTGTTGGGCAGGACTATGAATCTATACTAAAGTCACCTAAAGTTGATGATGTTAATATTTTAAAGTTTGTATGTTTAAAAATAAATACAAATGTTTAATGATTTAGAATTTTTCAGTGAATAGTCCTTTCTTTGAAAGTTGCCACCTGTTTTCTGAGTACATTATTTTTAAATGCAGAAGAGATTCTTCCCTATTCCTGGGTTGGCAGTGAGGTAGCTGCCATTTTGTTTTTCATTTCAGTTGCCGAACATTATATATGCATCCTCTCTCTCGCTCTCCCCCTTCCTCCCCTCTGTATTTATTCTCTATTTCTAAGATAAAAGTAATCTAGACTGAAAGTACATTTCCCCCTTTGTATACAAGTAATTGACATACAGCATATTATTGCTCTAGATCAGGGGTCTCCAAACTTTTCAGCCCGAGGGCCGCATTAACTATCAAACAGCAGTTCGGGGGCCGACTACACACTTGAGGTCCAAATAAAAAACAATCAAAACATGGATGTTGTTTTTAATTATGTATTTAATATTATTTTATTCAGTTATTATTTAATAACACATTCATACACTACACATGAACACCTGTATTAGTGTGAATGGTGAAATTGTTTCCTGGATGCCAAAATAGCAGACATTTCTGGCTTTAGATTTGTTGTCCCTAACATCAACACGTAAATTTCCGTAATTTTTTTTCTGTAGACAAAAAGGTCTCCACGGGCCGGATGAGAGGGCCTCGCGGGCCGCATCTGGCCCGCGGGCCGTAGTTTGGAGACCCCTGCTCTAGATAATCTAAATCATCTTTAACACAAGGGACTTACTAGGTAGGACACTACAATTCTCCTCAAGAGTGCCATGACTTTGCAACATGGATGACACCAGATATAAATATAAAAACTAAAGGACTGCTGCCCTGTCATTGCAGTGCATCTCAGTACCACACAAAAACATGGACAAAGCTCCTGGCCCAGAAGAGAGATTCTGCTGACAGTTGAAGCACACTAAGCGCAATGCCGTTCTTCCTGAAAAGTAATAGGTGTAACGGCATTGCGCAAGAGAGTTTTTCTTGCGCAAGAAGGGGCACTGTAGATGCTCCTTGCACAAGAGCCTCTTCTGAAAAAAATGGTGGCTCATTAGGCATGCAAATGAGGCTTAGCAATATTCCACGCTTAGCCTCATTTGTATCTTACTCGAGCAAGAAGCCGCGAGTGTAGACATAGCCTTGAACTGTCCAGAGATTGAAATATTTGATTTAAGGCATTGGTTAATATCTAGGGTTTGTTTAGGTTTACAATAGTTTGCTCTCAAATAGTCAAACAAAATACGTCCACTTCAGAAGAAGGGAAACTTCGAACCTCAGAGTGTTTCCTCTTAATGGAGATGAGATGTCTGTGCCCTACATTCCCTTTAGTCTGGATGACATTTCAAATGCAACAAAATTCCACAAATAATGTGGCTCTTCTGCCATTTTTACCGTTCTCAGTAGCTTGCCAAATTGCAATGTGTATGTTATACATAGTGTGAACACTGTCATCATTTTGAGATAAAATAATTGTGTTGGATCTGTTTTAATTCACTTTAAAATATTTTTTTCAACTGCATAATTGCTCACATACTATTGGTTGATCTAAATTTATCTCTTTTAGGCTTTGGCTCATCTTCATTTAATAGATTATATAGGAGAACAGACAGCTTTGTTAATAAAGGTACATTACAATGTTTACAGTTATCTCACTACCAAAATAGAGAAACGTTTTTATGGCTTTAATAAATATACTGATTAATCATTGCATATTCAAGTATAACTGTATTCTTGCATCAGATGTGCAATGGGTGCATGTCACTCTATGGTCTTCAATATAGAGCTTGTAGACCTCTCCCAAGCCAGAATAGATGATCTTCTCTGAATAGCAAATCTTTTCTGTAGTTTGAATTAATTAATAATGGAGGGGAAAGATAATATAATAAATAGAGGGGGAAAAGTATAAGTATAGCTGTGCAGTACATTTCTTGCATGAACTGTAAACATGATTGTTAGAAATGTTACTTGTTGCATTTTAAGTGCAGGTGAGACAAACACCTGTCAGGAATGGTCTAGATAATGCTTAGTTCTGCCATGAGTGCAGATGACTTCTTAAGGTCTCTTCCAGTCCTATGAGTCTATGCCCCTTTCCCACATTTCTGCTGAATTAGTAGTGATATTGTATGAATAAATCTATCAGTTATTTCCTTTTTTAAAATGTATTTTATATTTGTATCACCTTTTACAAATGAGTGTGTTGACGAGTTGGTGTAGATTCTATACAATTTTGCCATTTGTAGCACATAGAAATAGCAAGGTTATTACAGCTGAAAAAAATGTCAGTTAGATTTCAGTGTAAATGGATTTGTAACTGCATCTTTCTCCATGCCAGGTGGTTCCTGAGGATCAGCGCCTTGCGGTGGCTATCATTTTAGTCCTCTGGGTCTCTGCTCTGGCATCATCCCTCATTGACAACATTCCGTTCACAGCTACAATGGTATGTGTCTCTTCCGCAGTTGCATTTCTTCCTTCCATTATATGTAGTGAGTCCATCCATTTGCTAACAAGCTTGTTTTGTAAGACCTCAACTGTGTTACAACTGCCCCCTTCTCTTGCAGGCAGTGAATCATTATTAGTAGGTTGATTCACCCCACTTAAGCATCCCAGTGGCAATTTGCACATACAAACATTAGATTTGCAAACACCATTATGATAAGTAAGCATGAAATTAAGTGCACCGCTGTGCTTACATTTTTGAACTGGCCCTGGACTTCTGGCCTATTAAACATCTGGCTCTCAAATCTTATTATTCCCACATTAAATTTATAGTGGCACTTCGTCATCATCTGTAATGACACTGAATAGTCATTCTATAAAACTGGAGTTTAGGGCACTAACCTTGAATTTAGGTGACCCAAGATCAAGTCCTTGTTCCAATGCCTATTTAATAATTTATATTAAAAAGGAACAGCTTCAACAGGAGCGAATCAGAGATGCCCTCCCCACTGGAGGAGGACGAGGCAGCTTCCATGTATGACCTTTATTCAACTTGTAAGGGCTTTCTGCTGTACTGTGGGGGCATGTCTGCACCACTTGGAAGATCAATACTGCCGTGGTTGATCTTTTGGGGTTGGATTTAGTGGGTGTAGTATAGACCTGCTAGATTGAACTCAGAGAGCACCCCCATTGGCACTGGTACTCCTACTCCTCATGCTTCTGTCAACCTCCCACTGTGTGGACGGGGATTTAAGATAAGTTGACTCCAGCTACGTAATTTACATAGCTGGAGTTGTGTATCTTACTTTCACCTTCCCATGTAGTGTTGACTAGGCCTGTGAAATTAATGTTGAAATCCCCTTCCTTGTATCAAGCAGGCAGGGAAATTGAACTTCAGTCTCCTGCAGGCCAGTCATGTTGTATTGGGATAAAAATTACTAAGGGAAGCCCCTTCCTCTACTATTTCAGTCTAACACTTTAAAAGATTTTTTAAAATTCAAAGAATTATCTTTGCAATTTTTGGATTTTTTTTCAACCCAACCTGATCTCTTTTTTTCTATCTTTTTTTTTTAAACTTCCAGAGAATAAAGAAATCAGTTATTCACTTGACTGTAGTTCATACGTAATACTCAGACTGGGAGAATTGTGGGATTCCACTTCAGGAGAGGTGAAGACATGAAACCTAACGCGTGGGTGACACTCAGAGGGCAGAGGAAGGACAGAGATGCAACCAGTTATCTGTGATACTTGGTATCTTTTATTTTGTTTCTTTTTTTATACAACTTAAACATAGTGGCTCAAATTTTGATTTGGGCTGCTCTGTTTGTGCATACAAATGCAATCATTAGTTCCTAATGATTGAATCAATGTGTAAATCTATGCACAAACACAAATTTTGCCTATGCACAAAAAAGGAGGTAACTGAATTAAGCCTGTTCAATTAGCTTTATGAAATCTGACTGTCAGAATTATATATCAGTATGTAGAATCCAGAAGCCTAAACATTCTTCTAGATAAGGTGTTGGATGCTAAAAAGAGGAAAGGGGTTCCACTGTCAACTATTAGGCTTTGTCTACACTGTGACTCATTAGCATAAGTCACAATATCATTAGCATATTTTCTGCTGTTTCTTTTTGCGCAGAAAATCCTTATGCCTCTCTCGGAGGATCTTGTGCAAAACGGGGTTTTTGCACAAAATGGAAGCAGCAACACAGATTCCTTTTGTGCAAAAACCATTTCTGCTAAAAGAAATGGCAGAAAATATGCTAATGATTTTGCAACTTATGCTAATGAGTCCCTCATTAGCATATTTCTGCCACAAAAACTTGTAGTGTAGACAAAGCCTTAGGGACTAGGTCTTTCTTTATGTGGATCTAGAATCTCTGGAAGGTGAACAAGGCAATTAGGTGATTCCATACAAAGTTGGGTATTTCATCTTACTTTTCAAACTTGACATTCTAACAGCAGTAAAAGCAAAACCTGCTGATCAACGCTACAAACAGGTAATCAGTGTATGCATGTGACAGAAATCAAGCAATTGACTGGATTGAAATAATGAAAACAAATATATTTTCTAAAGTAAAATGTAAACATAGTTAATTTTTTAGGCAACAAAGTTAGAAAGAATTCACACTTATCTTGAAGCAGTGATTCTCCATCAGTGGTACATGTACCTTGGGGATACACAGATATCTTCTAGAGGTACATCAATTCATCTAGATAGTTGCAGGCTACATTAAAAACACTAGCAAACTTAGTACAAACTAAACTTTCATGTACACAGTAATTTGTTTATACTCCTCTATATGCTACACAGAGAAATGTAAGTACAGTATTTATTTTAAGATTGATTTATTTTATAATTATAAGGCAAAATGAGAAAGTAAAGCATTTTTCAGTAATAGCATGATATGGCACTTTTTGTATTTTTATGTCTGATTTTGTAACCAAGTAGTTTTAAAATGAGGTATAATGTGAACGCTATGCAAGATAAATTAGACCCCTGAAAGGGGTATAGCAGTCTAGAGTTGTAACATCATCTCATTTTGACCTGCCACTTTTTATCATTAAAAGTGAGAGGAGCTCTTCATTTGCAGTGATGTATTTTTCACAGGTATCTACTGTCTTCAATGTCATTTGTTTTTCTTTTTGGATCTCCCTTTGTCTTCTGCTTTGCCAGAATGTTTTGTACCATCTTTAATTTTTCAGTCTATTGGTAAAAGTGTAAGAATGGACAAACTAACCATAATAAGACATCGGCAGTTTTGAGAACCACATATACATTTTTCTTATGAATACTCTTTATGAACAGGTTGTGAAGTTTTCCTTCCAAACAACATTCTTCTATTGTAAACAGTCTCAGAGGGGTAACTGTGTTAGTCTGTAACTAAAACCAATGTGCAGTTTTGTGGCACCTTGGAGACTAACAGATATATCCTGAGCTTTTGTGGGTAAAACTCACTTCATCAGAAGACTAATTCTTAGCAAAATATGAGCAAGAATTAATGTGGTATAAAATTAAGGTTGGATAAAAACACCTTGAATAAAGACCATGCCTTTATCGAGTATGTGCAAACCACAGTGTGTGCATCATAATGCAAGTTCACAGGAGAGATGTGACATGGTACCTTCTACCCTCCCTGTGGCCTCTATGCTAGCATTGGGCACAAGCCTATGTGGTTGATGAAGCCACTTTTCATGGATAGCACTGGCAAGTGTTTCTAGCTTCTCAGCAATGGGAAGAGAAAGGGACCCTACTAATACTAGTGGAATTGGACCAGCATGCCCATCTCTCCTCTTCCAAGGATGGCTGAACTGCTCTTGCTGCTGCAGCATGAGCAACCTTATTTAAGGAGGAATTATGTCTGAGGGCTTGTCGCCACTACATCAGGGATCAATGATGCAACAATCGATCCACCAACCATTGATTTATCATGTCTGCTTAGACCCAATAAATCAATCTGAGTGCTCTCCCATTGATACCAGTACTCCACCGGGATGAGAATAGCTGACATCAATGGGAGTGTAGCACCTACTGACCTTACTGCACGCAAGATGGAGCAGTAATTATGTCAACTTCAGCTATGTTATTTGCATAGCTGAAGTGACCTAAATCAGATCGATAGCGAGGGTTAATATAGACAGTGCCTGAGTTAGATGCGGCATGGATGAAGTTTAATAGGGACAAATGCAAAGTGCTCCACTTAGGAAGGAACAGTCAGTTTTACACATACAGAATGGGAAGCGACTATCTAGAAAGGAGTACGGCAGAAAGGGATCTAGGGGCTATAGTGGACCACAAGCTGAATACGAGTCAGAAGTGTGATGCTGTTGCAAAAAAAAGCAAACATGATTCTGGGATGCATTAACAGGTGTGTTGTGAGCAAGACACGAGAAGTCATTCTTCCGCTCTACTCTGCGCTAGTTAGGCCTCAATTGGAGTATTGTCTCCAGTTCTGGGCACCGCATTTAAAGAAAGATATGGAGAAATTGGAGAGGGTCCAGAGAAGAGCAACAAGAATGATTAAGGTCTAGAGAACCTGACCTATGAAGGAAGGCTGAAAGAATTGAGTTTGTTTAGTTTAGAAAAGAGAAGATTGAGGGGGGACATGATAGCAGTTTTCAGGTATCTAAAAGGGTGTCATAAGGAGGAGGGGGAAAACTTGTTCATCTTGGCCTCTGAGGATAGATCAAGAAGCAATGGGCTTAAACTGCAGCAAGGGAGGTTTAGGTTGGACATTAGGAAAAAGTTCCTAACTGTCAGGGTAGTGAAACACTGGAATAAATTGCCCAGGGAGGTTGTGGAATCTCCATCTGTAGAGATATTTGCGAATAGGTTAGATAACTGTCTGTCAGGGATGGTCTAGACAGTATTTGGTCCTGCCATCAGGGCAGGAGACTGGACTCGAGGTCCCTTCCAGTCCTAGTATTTTATGATTCTATGATTCGTTCTCTCTGCCTTCCCCCTGCATTGTCCATTGCTTACTAGCTACAGTGTAATGCATTATCTATATTTGTATTTCAAGGAGAGCTTTCTCTATCATACCCATACCTTTCCTTCCTCTTTTTCTTACAGTGTAATTAATATCCTACATGTGGTAGAAATTAATGATGTACCAAATTATTTATCATGATTGTCACTGTGATATCAAATAGAAGATTTTTTTTCTTTTAAGGGCAGCTCCAGCTCCTGTTTAAAAAATATCTTTGGTAATTAGGAAATTTAATAAGAAAATTGTATGAAAAGTGTTACCAAAATTTTAAAATATGCCTTGTTTTGAGTATGCCCACTATGTGATACTTTTGTTTATAAATGACCTAAAAGAAATGATGATAAAGGGAACGGAGGGCCTATTTTACTCAAGGAAAGGTTGATTTGTTTAGCTTAGCAAAACAAAGGCTAAGCGAGAGTATGATTGCTTTCTATAAATACATCGCAGGGGTAAACACCAGGGAGCATGAAAAGCTATTTAAGTTAAAGGACAATGTTGACAGATGAAC